CAAATTTTAACCCTTTCTTTGCCATTTTTTGTCGTTTTCACCGAAATTTCCCCAAATTTTTCCCAATTTTTCCCATTTTTCCCCAATTTCCCCTCCCAGTATAAACCATTCCCTCCCAGTCCCAATTTCTCCCATTTTTAACCCTTTCAATCCCATTTTTTGGTCATTTTTTGCTCATTTTTCACCCAAATTTCACCCAAATTCCACCAAAATTTCACCAAAATTTCCCAAAATTTCCCAAATTTTTCCCTTTTTTTTCCGTTTTTTCCCCAATTTCCCCTCCCAGTCCCTCCCAGTATAAACCAGTAACCCCAGCTCCCAATTTTCTCCATTTTCCCCCATTTTTTCCCCATTTTTAACCCTTTCTTTGCCATTTTTCCCCATTTTTTTCTCGTTTTTCACCCAAATTTCACCCAAATTCCACCAAATTTCACCCATTTTTCTCCCAATTTCCCCTCCCAGTATAAACCAGTATAAACCAGTAACAAAAATACCTTTTAAAATCTGTTTTTTCCCTATTTTTGACCATTTTTCCCCATTTTTCACCCATTTTTCACCCAAATTCCACCCAAATTCCACCAAAATTTCACCAAAATTTTCCCAAATTTTCCCATTTTTCCCCCAATTCCCCCTCCCAGTATAAACCAGTAACAAAAATACCTTTTAAAATCCATTTTTTCCCTATTTTTGACCATTTCCCCCCCATTTTTCCCCATTTTTCACCCAAATTTCACCAAAATTTCACCAAAATTTTCCCAAATTTCCCCATTTTTCCCCCAAATTTCCCCTCCCAGTATAAACCAGTATAAACCAGTATCAAATTTACTCTGGAAAATCTTTTTTTTTGCTATTTTTTGCCATTTTTTGTCATTTTTTTTTCATTTTTTTTCCTTTTTTTCCCAAATTTCCCCTTTTTTTCCCCAATTTCCCCCTCCAGTATAAACCAGTCCAAACCAGTCCAAACCAGTCCAAACCAGTTCCCATTTTTCCCATTTTTAACCCTTTAATTTCCGTATTTTCACCAGTTTTTCCCATATTTTCATCGTTTTTCACCCAATTTTTTCCGAATTTTTCCCAAAATCCCCCAAATTTCCCCCAATTCCACCTCCCAGTATAAACCAGTATAAAAAATCCCCTTTAAAGCAAATTTTTCCCCCATTTTTTGGTCATTTTTCACCCAAATTTCACCCAATTTTCACCAAAATTTCACCAAAATTTTCCCAAATTCCCCCTTTTTTCCCCCAAATTCCCCCTCCCAGTAAAAACCAGTATAAACCAGTCCAAACCAGTATAAACCAGTTCCCATTTTTCCCATTTTCCCCCCATTTTTAACCCTTTCATTGCCATTTTTTCCCCATTTTTGCTCATTTTTTCACTGTTTTTTCCCATTTTTTCCCCAAAATTTCACCGAATTTTCCCAAATTTCCCCAATTTCCCCCTCCCAGTACAAACCAGTATAAACCAGTATAAAAACCACCCTTAAACACCAATTTCTCCCCATTTTTTGTCATTTTTTCACCCAAATTTCCCCATTTTTCACCCAAATTTCACCCAAATTCCACCAAAGTTTCACCAAAATTTCACCGAAATTTTCCCAATTTTCCCCATTTTTCCCCCAATTTCCCCTCCCAGTATAAACCAGTCCAAACCAGTTCCATTTTTCCCCATTTTTAACCCTTTAATCCCCATATTTTCCCCATTTTTGCTCATTTTTTCCCCATTTTTGCTTTTTTTTCCCATTTTTTCCCCAAAATTTCACCAAATTTTCCCAAATTTCCCCAATTTCCCCCTCCCAGTATAAACCAGTATAAACCAGTAACCCCACTTCCCAATTTTCTCCATTTTTCCCCATTTCCCCCCATTTTTTGATCATTTTTCACCCAAATTTTTCCCAATTTTTCCCAAATTTCCCCAAATTTCCCCTCCCAGTATAAACCAGTCCAAACCATTCCCTCCCAGTCCCAATTTCTCCCATTTTTAACCCTTTCAATCCCATTTTTTGGTCATTTTTTGCCCATTTTTCACCCAAATTTCACCCAAATTTCACAAAAATTCCACCAAAATTTCACCAATTTTTTCCCAAATTCCCCCATTTTTCCCCCAAATTCCCCCTCCCAGTATAAACCAGTATAAACCAGTCCAAACCAGTTCCTTTTTTCCCCATTTTTAACCCTTTAATCCCCATATTTTCCCCAATTTTTCTCATTTTTTCACCCAAATTTCACCCAAATTCCACCAAAATTTCACCAATTTTTTCCCAAATTTTCCCATTTTCCCCCAAATTTCCCCTCCCAGTATAAACCAGTATAAACCAGTCCAAACCAGTACAAAACCACCCTTAAACACCAATTTTTGTCATTTTTCACCCACATTTCACCCAAATTTCACCCAAATTCCACCAAAATTTCACCAAAATTTTCTCAAAATTTCCCCAAATTTCCCCATTTTTCCCCTAATTTCCCCTCCCAGTCCCTCCCAGTATAAACCAGTCCAAACCAGTCCCTCCCAGTTCAATTTTTCCCCATTTTTAACCCTTTCATTCCCATTTTCCCCCCATTTTTTGGTAATTTTTACTCATTTTTGTGTCATTTTTTCACCATTTTCCCCCATTTTTCTCAATTTTTTCCCAGATTTCCCCTCCCAGTTCATCCCAGTTTGTTCCCAGTATAAACCAGTAACCCCAAT